GCGTGCGTCGCGACGCGGAATAAAATTGTCGGGGCGGAGGGGCACGGGGCGGAGTCCCCACTGGGGCGCTGGGGACGCGGGGAGGGAGGTGGGGGAGGTGGTGTGCGTCGCGACGCGGATAAGCGTTCGTGGCGGAGGGGCATGGGCGGGGCCCCCGCTGGGGCGCTGGGGACGCGGGGGGGGGGGGCTCGGGGCAGAGAGCCACGGCGCGGGGGTCCCACTCTGGCGCTGAATGGGGGGGGGGGGGCGACGCGGAATAACACGTTCGTGGCGGAGGGGGCAGCGGGCGGGGCTCCTCGCTGGGGCGCTGGGGACGCGGGGGGGGGGGGCTCGGGGCAGAGAGCCACGGCGCGGGGGTCCCACTCTGGCGCTGGGGACGCAAAGGTGTGTGGGGAGTGGGGGGCGACGCGGAATAAAGCGTTCGTGGCGGAGGGGGCAGTGGGCGGGGCTCCCGTTGGGGCGCTGGGGACGCGGGGGGGCTCGGGGCAGAGAGCCACGGCGCGGGGGTCCTATTCTGGCGCTGGGGACGCGGTGTGTGTGTGTGTGTGTGTGTGTGTGTGTGTGTGTGTGTGTGTGTCTGTGTGTGTGTGTGTGTGTGTGCGCGCAGAATTTTAGTGGTCGGAGCTCTAGCCGCCCTGTGCAAGATAATAATGTTGAGACTGTTCGCTCTTATCTGCTCGCGTGCCATTCCAACGCGTAACTATCCCAAACCCTCGATACCCGCCCTTTTCGTCTTCGATCGTGCCCCCTTGGGGGTTATCTTCCTTACCTGCAGCGTGTGCTTGGTGCAGCCCCTGAAACAGGGGAAGAAGGGACGCATGGAGGGGGGGGAGACGATTGGAGCACGGAGTTATCAGGAGGGGGGCTAGGAACAAAAAACACGTGGCAGAACCAGACGGGCAGATCGTGTGGGCAGACCCTAGCAGGCTGGTCGGGAAGGCGGGCCTAGGCGGCCAGGTCGAGCAAGCGGGATGCTGAAGCGTGCGTTCTGTATGAATCGCGAGGATGTCTTGAGCGATAACGCGATTTACAAGTAAATCGTAAGACATCCATAGCGAGTGCATGATTCCTGAATATCGAGGGCGCGGAGTCTGAATAAATCTGCAGGAATTCCCACGCGAGCGCGCGATTCCTGTATACATTGTGAAGTAATCCCAAGCGCGAGCGCGACTCTTCAATAAACTGTGTGGCCATATCAGGCTGGAGCCGTTGTTGAACTCACAAATGAAGAATAATTGTTGTTGATCCCCCCTCCGGTAAAATATGTTTTTTTTGTCGTCTGAAGTGCTACTCCCAATGCTCGTACCCTGTTTTTTTTGAATGTCTTCCTGCTCAAACTGTGCCCCTGGCCGTCAATTTACAACAACAGCGGCTCCCGCCTGATACTCCCTCGCAATTTACTGAACAATCGCGCTCTCGTCAGGGACTTCCTTACAACTATAAAAGAATCGCGCTCTCGCCTGCAGGCGTCACGCCCTCGCCATTCAGGAATCGCGCTCTTGCTTGGGATTTCCTTATAATTTACTCAGGAATCGCGCTCTCGCCTCGCGACTCATGCAGGACTCACGCATCCGCGTAACGTACGTGCTTCTTCAAATGAAGTGCTCCTCCAGGGGCTCGCTGTGTTTGTACGGGGAAACATAATCCTGCTCAAACTGTGCCCCTGGCCCCCGGTTTACAACAACAAGGGCTCCCGCTTGATTTGTCCCTACAATTCATTCCCAAATCGCGCTCTCGCGAAGGCTTTTCCTAATACTTCAATGCAGGAATCACGCTTTCGCGTGGGACGTCCTTGCAATTTATTCAGACGCCACGCCCTCGACACTCATGAATCTCGCTCTCGCTGTGGATTTCTCCAAGACTTATTTGGGAATCGCGCTATCGCTCGAGACTTCCTCGCGACTCATGAAAAACGCACGCTTTAGCAACCCGCTTGCTCGACCTGGCCGTCACGTCTCGGCCCGACTTCCCGACCCACCGGCCCGTTAGGGTCTACCCGCCCGATCTGCCCGTCTGGTCCTGCCACGTGTTTTCTGCTCCTAGACCCCCTTCTCCTAGTTTCTCTCATGCTCCATCTCCATCCCTGCCCCTTGTCCCTTCCTTCTATCCGTCCTCTCTTTCCTTGCCTTAGGGGCTGCACGAAGTACAAACGTTGCAAGTAGAAAAGATACACCCCGAAGGGGGTATCATCGAAGACGAAGAGGGCGGGTAACGAGGGCTTGGGACATACGTGTTGAATGGCACGCGAGCAGGGAAGAGCGAACAATCTTCACATGTTTGTTGTTTTTGCTGCTGCTGCTGTTGCTGTAAACTGGGGGCCAAAGATACAATTCTGAGACCCACGACTTTGCCATATATATATATATATATATACACACACATAAGAACAGGGTGCGAGCCCTCGGAAAAAGGCACTTCAGTTGAAAAACGCCATGTGCCCCGGAGGGGGGTGATCAACAATACCTATTCTTCAGCAGTGATAACTCAACAAGAACAAGAACAACGCTCCGGTGCGATACTTCGTGCACTTCGCTCTGAGAGGCCCTGGCCAAAGAGGGACCGAACCTCAGGAAAGGTGCTCTCGCCTGAGGATTCCTCGTAATCTGGCACCACAGAGGAATTCTTCAAAGCAGTCCTGCCGTTACTTGCGGATGCCAAAACTGCCGTTCCGCTCCAAACATCCTAGCAATTGGGCACGGTAGTCAACATATTTTTCAATTCAAACGTCTCTCCCGGGCTCGCATTCTGTTTCTTACAAAAGCAAGCAAGTGGCCAACAAATTACGTTGTTGGCCCCCGAACTACGACAACAACGGCTCCCGCCTGATACTTCCCCACCATGTATTTCAAAATCACGCTCTCGCGCGGGACGTCTTTGCAAAATTATACAGGAATCGCGCTCTCTCGTTGGATTTCTTCGCCATTGACTCAGACGCCCTCGACACTCAGGGATCATGCTCTCGCTGTGGATTTCCTGACGATTTACATGGGAATCGCGCTGTCGCTTGAAACCTCTTCGCGATTCATGAAAAACGCATGCTTCAGCAACCCGCCTGCTCAACCTGGCCGCATGGGCCCGCCTTCCCGACCCGCCCGCCCGCTACGTTCTACCCGCCCGATCAGCCCGTCTGGTTCTGCCACGTGTTATCTGCTCCTAACCCCCCTCCGGCTACTTTCTCTCGTGCTCCATCCTCCTCCTTCACCCTGGTTCCTTCCTTCCATACGCCCTGTCTTCCTCTGCCTTAGGGCGGCCTGCAAGAAATACGCGCTGCGGGGCAGACGTATACCCCCAAGGGGGTACGATCGAAGACGACGAGGGTGCGTACCGAGGGTTTGGGATATACGTGTTGAGTGGCCCGTGAGCAGATACGAGTCACGAGCGAATGCTATTCAAACGATTGTTGTAGCTGTTGTGGTTGATGTCTCATTTCTAAGGAATAATCATCGTTGGTCCCTCCTGCCGGGTAACCATCGTATTTTTCAATTAAAATGCTTCTCCCGGGGCTCGCACCCGGTCTTATAAAAAGAAACTAAACTATCATCAAACGGGTTTGTCGGCCCCTCGTTTGCAACATCAGCAGCGGCTCCCGTCTGGTGCTTCCTCACAAATTATATCCGAATCCCGCTCTCGTGCGGTACGTCTTTGCAAATCAAACTGGAATCGCGCTCTTGCGTGGGACTTCCTCGCAATTTATTCAGACGCCGCGCCTTCATCACTCAGGAATGACGCTCTCGCTTTGGCCAATCTCGTGATGTACTTGGGAATCGCGCTATCGTTCGAGACGTCCTCGCGATTCATGCAGGATGTACGCTTCAGCAACCCGCCTGCTCGACCTGGCCGCCTGGGCCCGCCTTCCCGACCCGTCCGCTAGGGTCTACCCACTCGATCTGCCCGTCTGGTTCTGCAATGCGTTTCCCGCTCCTGGCCCCCCTCTTGCTATTCTCTCTCTCTCGTGCTCCATCCTCCTCCCTCCCCCTTGTCCCTTCCTTCCATCCGCCCTCTCTTCCCAAGGGTACGATCGGAGACGGAGAAGGCGGGTATCGCTGGTTTGGGATATACATGTTGAAATGGCACGCGAGCGCATCGGAACGAACAACGCTAACATGATTGTTGCTGTTGCTGTTGTTTTTTGTTGTCGGTGTGGTTGTTGTGTTGGTTGTTGTTGTTGCTGCTGTTGTTTTTTGTTTTCGGTGTGGTTGTTGTGTCGGTTGCTGTTGTTGGTGTTGTTGTTGGCGTTGTTGTTGTTGTGGTTGTTGTTTGTTTGTGTTTGCTGCTGTCATCGTCCTCGCCCGCAACCCCCCCCCCCGCGTCTCACCTGCAACCCGCCCGCGACCAAGCCCGCGATCCACCCCGCGCCCGCCCGTTCACTCTTATCCGCAACTGCGGTGTGCTACATCGATAGGTATGTGTGTGTATGTATATATGCATGCATGCATGTATGTGTGCGTATGTACGTACGTAGGTATGTCTGTATGTAAACGTAACTGCACCTTCATATGCATGCTGTTATGTATATGCACATATATATACACATATATATATATACATGTACGTCTGTCTGCCTGTCTGTATGTATGCATGCATATGTATATGTACATGTATATGCATTTGTTTATGTATATGTTTGTGCACATATACAAGCATGTGTACATGTAGGTGTACACGCAGTTGCATTTTAGGTACATGCTTTTGCCATTATGTATTATAGGTGTGACCTATATCTATGTACAAACACATATATACACATACATTTATATATAGAAGGATAGGAAGATAACATGAGAAAGAACGGGAGAGAGAGAGAGAGAGAGAGAGAGCGAGCGAGCGAGAGAGAGAGAGAGAGAGGGAAAGAGAGAGAGAGCGAGCGAGAGCACGAGGCAGAGACAGGACACGTGAGCGCTGGCCCCATCATGGGCGCCTCGCCCGTCGTCGCGCCCGCGCCCCGCGCCCCCTCGCAGGTCCGCAGGTGGCAGCGGGGGGGTATGCGAGGCGCACCCCGCTCAGCCCGCCTTGAAGGCCAGGACCTTGGCGTGCGAGCGGCGGCGGCGGGGCAGAGGGGCCCAACTGCTTTTGCTGCTCCTCCTGCTGCTCTTCCACGTCGTCCTCCCATTCCTCCTTGTTCTGGTCCTCCTCCTTCGCCTGGTCCTTCTGCTCCTCCTCCTGCGCCTCCTGCTCCTCCTCCTCCTCGTTTTCCTCCGCCGTCTCCTCCCCCATTTCTCCCGCGTGTAGTCTTCTTCGCAATCATCGGATGCCAATACGATACATTCACCACATGTGCCTTTTCAATGGCAATATCTTCGGTCCCCCAGATGGTGCTCCCACTGCAGCCTACATTCCAGGACTGGTCCTTCCCCCCCGTCGTTCAGAATGGCGCTCTCGCCTCAACGAGGGCCACGCTTCTGGAACCGACTCTTTTCTCGTCGTTGTAATTTCCCTTCTTTCCCCTCCTCCGCTTTTCCCTTGTCCTCCTGCTCTTCCTGCTCCTGCTGATCTTACACTTTTATATACTTCATTCGCTTCTTGCTCATCCGCCTCCTCCCCCTCCTGCCGTATGCATGACGAATGTTCGTCGCACCACCAACGCTGTCAGTAGGGTGGGCCAGGCTTTCGCCTAAGACTTCCTCAACGCTGATGATCCTGAAACTTGTAAATTCTGACAGCTGCGTTGGTGGAGGGCGTGCGTCTTCAAAGTCTTATGCTCGCCTGAGCGCGGTGCGCGCCTTCGTCGTACACCTCCCGGCGCTTGCGTACACAAAATGGAGGGCGGCCCTTTGCCAACAAATGAATCACGCCGTAGCGCGCCACTCATTCTTCTCAACATTGTCCCATCGGTTACGAGCGTGTCGGGCGAATGGTCTTCGAACTATGGCTGTCGCCTTCGCGCCGTGCGCATGTGTCTAACCGTTTCCAACAACTTCGGGAATGGCGGGTGGGTGGTCTTCAACATGTGGCTCCCATCTACGCGCGAAACGCAATCGGATTTGACATTTACCAGCAGTAATATGCAATAGCGAAGCGCGGCTGCCCCGAGACGGCCCAAGACGGCCTGAAGAGGCTCCCAAGAAAACTCCAAAACAGCTCCCAGAAGTCCCCAGCAGAGCCTTACGACGGCCAGAGCCCCCCGAAACAGCCCACGAGGGCCCCAAAACGGTTCTAAAAGGCCCCAAGACGGTCCAGAGGGGCCTCTAAGAAAACCCGGAAGCGTCCAATTTCGGGGACTCGCCTCCCACTCCGTTCGTGCTTCCCCCGAATGTGCCCACGACTGCTCCAGAAGCTGGGACCCCAAAGGGTCGGCAGAGTCGGACCCATTAGTCGGATCCCTACACATGCCGGAAGTTTAATTCTTCGCATGGGGCTGTGTCTGGATTTCCTATCACATGGATGGCTTTGCACCCCTATCATGCACAAACTCACGTATGCATGGTGCTTGACTTGATTATCCCATATATCGCTTTGTCTGAAATCCAATCGGAAGAGGATGCTTCGTTCTTCACTTGCATCTTTGCCATGCCCATGTGATCGCCTCCAGACAATTTGACTTTTTCGCAACTTGAATATCATATCATATCATTATATATATATATATATATATATATATATCTGAAGGAGGCGCTCAGGACTGCGTCCAGGGAAGCGCTAAAGCATCAAGAATCGCGCTCTCGCCCTCCTCGGGTAATGTCTTGAATTCTCTGGGTGCCCACTCTGGGAGCCTTTGTGGCCCTCTTCAATCTTTATTGGGATTCTCGTGGTATCCTTGAGGGCGCTCTTGGGGCCATATCGAATGCTCTGAAAACGGTAACCGGGGCGTGTTCACAAACGACAGCTAGTCATGAAGTGGACACATGAGGGACAGGTGGAATAACAAGGAACCTTCGTCTTTTTTTTGTTCTCTCTCTCTCTCTGTCTTTTCCTCTTTTTCTCTCTATATTTCTCTCTCTTTCTTTCTTCTTCATCTCTCTCTCTCTCTTTCTCTTTCTCTCTCTCTCTCTCTCTCCCGCGCCCCGCCTGCCGCCTGCGCGCCGATCCTGAAGGGCCAAGGTGCATATGCATTCTTGTGGATACACACATATATGTTCATACTCATATGTATGTGTATGTGTATGCGTATATGTCAATGTTTGTGTATGCGTATACGTTTACACTTGTGTACAACTGTGCACATTCACACACACACAAACGCACATATATGTTGTACATCTTGTGTGCGTTGAGCTCTCACTTCTCAATAACTATGGCCGACCTCCCCACCTGGTGCCCAGTGTATCTTTCAGCTGTAGTGTCCCCCTAGGGCTCGAATCTGGTTTTTCAGAAGGAAATTCTGGTTTTTCATGAGGAAATCAGGAGGAAATTCTTTCACTTCAGAGGAGATCAGGAGGAAATTCTGGTTTTTCAAAAGGAAATTTTGGTTTTTCAACAGGAAATCAGGAGGAAATCAGGAGGAAGTCAGGAGGTTTTTCTGTATCTTTCAATCGAATCTGGTTTTTCAGGAGGAAATTCTTTAACTTCCAATTGCGCCCCTGGCCCCTGCGCCCCGACTCGCAGCTGATTCAAACACACCATTTCTTCACGGATCGCTCTCGCTCGAGAACTCCTCGCTTCTTACTCACGGGCCGCGCTATCGCCTCGGACGTCCTTGGAACTTACTCGGGCGCTGCGCCGTCGACGTCCACAAATCGCGCGCTCGCACCCTGTGATTTACTGAGGGAGGGCTTCTTAGAAGGAGGCTGCTTCTTGGAAGGCCTGCGCCTTCCAAGAAGCAGGGGTGCTTCTAAGTAACACTCCACCTTCCCACTACCCCCCTCTGCGCATGGCCGACGCTCGTTAGGCCCCACACGCCCGAATCGCCTGTTGGGGTCCACCCACCCGCCCGAACCGCTCGTTAGGGTCCGGCCTCTCGTTCCGCGCGCTTGGGAACGCTCGCCGGCTCCAATGCCCTGCGCAACCCGACACGCCCGCTATATGGTCCGCCCGCCCGACCCGCCCGTCAGGGCTGGCCCGCCCGCCAGGGTCGGGTTGTGGAGTTCATTGCTTCTCCCTTCTCCTCCTCCTTCCCCCTCCTCTCCCCCTCCCTTGCTTCTCCTTTCTCCCCCTTCTCCCCTTCCCTTCTCCCCCTCTCACAATGCTTTTCCGTTCCTCTTGCCCCCCTCCGTGCTCTGTTCCTGCTCCTTTCCTCGCTCTCTCTTGTTCTCTGCTCCGTCTACCCCCTCCTATCTTAGGGGGCCGCGCCAACTGCACGTGGCAGGACAGGAAGATATACACCCCGAAAGGGTCCGATCAAGGACGACGAAGGCGGGCACCGAGGGATCGGCGTATACATGTTGAGTGTCACGCGAACAACGGGAAATAACACTATTAAACTTATCGAATTCTCATTAGAAATACACAATTACCTAACAGCGAAGACTGATAGGTTTCTAGTGGTGTCAAAAGAGCATCATGACTCCTCAGGGGGGTCGGGGCGGGACCCGGGGCGGCTGCCGTCGAAGCCCAAATTGCCTGGGACATCCTCGCAAAATCGCTCTTGGCGCTACGAGAACTCCATTCCCGGCGTACATTTTGGATGCCCGGAGCCAACTGTAGGCCACTTCGTGGTCTTCGAGTTCCCAGAACTCCATTCACGGCGTACATTTTGGATGCCCGGAGCCAACTGTAGGCCACTTCGTGGTCTTCGAGTTCCCAGAACTCCATTCCCGGGCCACATTTTGGATGCTCCGGAGCCAACTGTAGGCCACTTCGTGCTCTTCGAGTTCCCAGAACTCCATTCCCGGGCCACATTTTGAATGCCCGGAGCCAACTGTAGGCCACTTCGTGCTCTTCGAGTTCCCAGAACTCCATTCCCGGGCACATTTTGAATGCCCGGAGCCAACTGTAGGCCACTTCGTGTTCTTCTAGTTCCCAGAACTCCATTCCTGGGCCACATTTTGATTGCTGAGGCAGGCTGATGCTGCGGCCGAGGCAGGCTGAGGCTGAGGCAGGCTGAGGCCGAGGCCGAGGCTGAAGGCAGACTGAGGCTGAGGCTGAGGCAGACTGAGGCTGAGGCTGAGGCAGGCTGAGGCTGAGGCTGAGGCAGGCTGAGGCTGAGGCTGAGGCTGAGGCTGAGGCTGATGCAGGCTGAGGCTGAGGCAGGCTGAGGCTGAGGCCGAGGCTGAAGGCAGACTGAGGCTGAGGCTGAAGCAGGCCGAGGCTGAGGCTGAGGCAGGCTGAGGCTGAGGCAGGTTGAGGCTGAGGCTGAGGCAGGCTGAGGGTGAGGCTGTGATTGCGACTGCCGTTGCCACTGCGACTGTCATCGCGAATGCGATTACGACTGCGAGAACAGCAGAATTCTACAACTGGATTCTCATTTGAATCTTAAGGGGAATGCTTCCAGATATGCTCCTACACATCGCTGTTAGGTTGCGTTGCCGGGATAATTTTTGTTGAACCCCCGTGCCCGGCGCCCATGGTGATTTTTCCAATCCGGTGCTCCCCCCAGGGCTCCCACCTAGTTATTTACAAAAGAAGCTCTGGCGCCTCAATTTTTATTGTTGCCCTCCAGTTTCTCACAACACCGGCTCCCTCCGGATACTTTCTCAAATTCAATTCAAAATCGCGCTGTCGCCCGGAACTTCCACACAATTTCACCAGGAATCGTGCTCTCGCGTGATAGCTCCTCGCAAATTATTGACACGCCGCGCCCCCGACGCTCAGGAGTCACGCTCTCACTTTGGACTTCCTCACAATTTACTTGGGAAGCGCTCTATCGCTCGAATTTTCCTCGCGATTGATGTTGGATTGACGCTTCAGCGACCTACCCACTCGACCCTGCCGTCTGGGCCCGTCCGACCGACCCGCCCGTTAAGGTCTGGCCGCCCGACACGCCCGTCTGGTTCTGCCACTTGCACTCCTGCTCCTAGCCCCCTCCTGCAAATCCCTCTCGTGCTCCATCCTTCTTACTCCCCCTTGTTTCTTCCCTCCTACTTCTGTTCCCCTGCTTTAGGAGCTGGGCCAACTTAGCGTGGCAGGTAAGGAATATATCGTCCCCAAG